AAAAAAAAAAAAAAGAAAAGAAAGAAATATCTGAAGTCAAGAACACTGGTTTTCAAGCACATGAGGGAAGGTTTACTATTAAGAATTTTGTTAAGCAAAATTAAGTGTGGATTCAGGAGCCTGTCCAAACTGGTACATAAGGGAAGGTCAAAATGTCAAGGGTATACACTGTCTTCATGTTCTATGAAAAATAGGCAGGAAGGCCAGATGATAAACTGGCCGGAACTTAGCAGCACCAAACACAACCTGTTTTCTTCAAAATAAGGCTTTCGGTCAGAGTTGCAATATTATCTTTTTTTTTCATTTAAGAACTGAAAAAAAAATAAAACAAAAGTCATCGTGTTTGGTTATATTTTCAAAACAGTGCTGGCTTTGTCTAATGTTCTATTAGTGTGCTAGGGGAAGTTGACTAAGAGTGCAAAATGCATGCATTTGTAACATTAGTTTCATGAATTTGTGTCATTTGAAAATAGGTCAATGCTTAGGAGTCCTACTAGTGAAGGCAGTTTGAGTCTTTTCAAGTGATCTTCAAGTCAGCCCCCTTACACAGCCAATTTTGGGGTAAATACCCATAAATCAAAGCACAGCCTATATTCCACACAGGTATTATCCTCTGCTTTTATTTCTGGGGATAACATGATCAGAAATCATTACCGGCTCATCTAAGTAGAGAAGTTCTCCACTGAATACTCACGGTGAAATGTGATTTGATAACACAGTTTAAACCTGATATGTCCTTGGAACTATAGAAGTAAGGGGTGGATTTTCTTTTTTCCTATTTAAGACAAACGACCTTCAATGTTAAAGAGAAAAGCCAAACAAAACAAACAACTTTGATTTGTCTAAAGTGTTTACGTTAAATCTTGTCAGGCCTTGCTAACAAGAAAATCACGGTGTGTAAGAGAAGGAGGAAAAATAATCAGCTTTAACGAAAAGGCAAGTGTTGTTTATCTTTACCATTAAATGCATATGTGCCCAAGCCACCTCTGATGCGCCATATTTGGCGGGCTCCTCTGTCTTTGGATGGGTTTGCTCCTGATCAGAAGCGTAGGGCCATGTTCAGGAAGCCTAGTTCCACTGTTTTGTTTTGCTTTGCTTTTCTCACCAAGGGTAATTATGGCTCAACTCATTTGAAAACTGAAAACTTTGGGAAGAAAAAAAAATGAGGTCATAATTTACATTTATATTAAATATTGCTAATCATTATATGGGGCCAGCCTCCTCACACCTCCACAAACGGGCTATAATTTCACCCTAATGACTGCCTCCCTATTCCTCCCTGAATCCTTCTACTGGAGAAAAGGATGCATTTTACACTTTTAATGAGGTTGTTGGGCCCAGTTAAACTGTACACTAAGAAACTGAGTACAGAATCAAAAAAAAAAAATGCCGTTTATTATTGTAGATTATTCTTTTTCTTGATATAACCAGAATTGAAAATGAAAGAAAAGCACATAGGAACATCACGCGTGGTTAGTAACTCAAGATATAAAACAATTTTGCACAGCAAAATATGTAAAAGAAAAGTAACTGACAAGATTTTTTTATATTTATTGTGGTAAGATTTACTTTTCATTTCTTTTTAAAGACAGGATGTCAGTCCCTGAAAATAACATTTACTGATTATTGCCTTTAAAACTGTGGATTTTTTTTTTAATTACAGAAAATCCAGTTCTGCACCACAATACAACTGTAAAAAAATCTGCATCTTCTTAAAACTGTGCAGTAATGCCATTTTTATAACTGCATAAATTTTATTAGCGTTCTAAACAGTTTTGCAAATTTTTTTGTATTATATGCTTGCAGGTTATATCTTAGTGCAATTCAGTCCCAAATACTTTAATTTTGAAAAAAAAAAACATACATTTTTTGAATGTAAAATACCCCTACAGATATAAACAGGGGCGTTTCCCCTTTTAATACTTTGGTTTTCAATACAGTCAGTGGTATAGCAAAGACTACACATACCCAACTTATATGTAAGTTGCAAGCACATGCTGTATAAGCTACTTTTTTTAAACAGTCCCCTTGCAAACTCTACCCCCCTTAACATCACAACAGTAAACAATTTAGTGCATCAATCTTTTAAAAAATCTACAGCTAAACAGACCTAACTCTTTCAAATTTATCTATAACATTCCTTTATCTGTAGCATACATTTTAACTGGGCTAACAGATTATAAAAACTAGAATTAAATTATATACTAGAAACCCATAGCATTCCACATTTGACAATGACCAAAAGCCAAAAAATAGAAAACAAAAAAAATAAAACAAACCAAAAATAATGGGGCAGGTTTCTCTTTTTAAAAAATAAATTTTAGACTGCTTTCGACAATAGCACAATTTTAGTCCCCAAAGTGGGGCGTCGCTCTTATGAAAAAGAAAACATTAAGAGTTCTTCAGTGTTTGCCAGGTTAAATTTGTAACCCGTTCGGGTATTTTTGACAAGGAATGCCTTCAGTGCACTGGGAGGCTGAAGTTCTGAGTAACTCAAAGCAGTTTTGGAGCAGATGCAAAATTTCATGGGAAGAAAGCTCTAAGGTTGCACTGTTTTGTGTTGAACTCAAAAAAGTCATGAGGCAATAAAACAAAAGTATGAATGCCATGCTATAAGTCTTCGAACGTCCATTTCCAAGCCAAAAGAAAAAAAAAGGAAAAAATAATTATACCATACATGTCCAGCATGCAGGCTTTTTTTTTTATTAATATAATGTCTCTTTTCCATAAAGTCTTTGAAACTGTTATAGTTCATTGTTGCTAAGACAAAGTAGCAAGCATAATAATGCATGAGATGAGAATGAGTTTTTTTAATGGCAGACTAAACTCTCAGATTTGGCATCACAAGGCCAAAACTCACAAGTCACACCCAGAAGGTTGATGCAGGCTTGACTGTGGAAGGTTCATGAGGATTTTTTTTTCTCTATTTTAGCATAACAATGCTAAAAAAACCCGATGGAACTCCGCACGCTGCAAGTCTATAACATTTCACATTTTTTTTTTCCTTTGCAAGCTCAATCTCACATGAAGAACTCAGGAGAAGAAAAAAAAACTTTGCTTTTTTTGTTTTCTCTCGGAAAAGATGGGTTGAGAGGAGTGAGTGGAGGTTGGAAAAAAGGTGGGCAACACAGCAAGCTCCAAAAGTAAAATTAAAAAAAAATCCAAACAAAATAAAACACACACACACACACACACACACACACACACACACAGAAAATGAACACCAGTTCATGAACTGAAGGGGAAGAAGGAAAAAAAAAGTTGTGAATGATGCAGGCTTCAAAGGTGAGCAACGTTTCACATGAAGAACTCTGCTGAGATCTTTGAACATTGTGCAAGTCCCGGGGTGGGGGGTGTTAAAAAAAAAAAAAAAAAAAAAAACAAGCTAGCAAGTTATGGAGAATTTCAGATTGGCAATCCATGAGCCAGACACCCATTCCCTCCCCAATTTAAAACAGCCACCGCCTCCACAAACTCGAGCAGGTGTGTGTGTGTGTGTGCGTGTGTGTGTGTGTGTGTGTAGGGGGCCAAACTCGGTCGAGGAGGGGGCGAGGTGGTGGCGAGCGTGGCTCTGGAACTAGCAAGCCCACACCCGAGCCGGACCCCCGCGGAGCACTTATCAGGGTGGCTAGCTGGGGTCGCGTGTCAGACTCACATGAAAAACTCGGGAGAGGACGGGTTGTCGCTGCTCGAGCCGTTTTCTCGGAAGCCGCTGCTCACCAACTTCTCGTATTTCTCCTTGTACGCGTCCCTCTCGCGCACCAGCCTGGAGATCTCCTGCTTGAGGTGGTCGACTTGCTGCAGCAGCTGGTTCTTCTCCGACTCCAGGACGTGTCTCTGCTGCACCCTCTTGAAGCGGCAGGACTGGGCATAGCCGCGGTTTTTCAGGGTCCGCCTCTTCTGCTTCAGCCGGATCACCTCCTCCTTGCTGACCCCGCGCAGCTGCCGATTCAGCTCGCGCACCGACATGGTCACCAGCTGCTCGTCGGAGAAGCGGTCGTCGAAGTGCAGGCCGCCGCCGGCGTGGTGCGGGTGCAGGGCGCCCCCCGCCCCCGCCGCGCCCCCGCCGCCTCCTCCTCCTCCTCCTCCGCCGCCGCCGCCGCCCCCAGCGCTGGCCGGGCCGCCGCCGCCGCCGCCCGCGCCCCCCGCGCCCCCGGCCGAGGCGGACGCGCTGCCCGCGGCGCCCGGCGCGCCGGCCGTCGGGTGGTGGTGGTGGCCGGCGGCGTGGTGGTGGTGGTGGTGGTAGTGCGGGCCCGCGCCGCTCTGCGCGGCTGCCGCGGCGATCACGGCGGACACCACGGCGGCGGCGGGGCCCATCTCCTCGCCGCTGCCGCCCAGGGAGGCGCCGGCGCCGGCCCCGGCCGCCGCGGCCAGCTGCTGCGCCCCGCGCGCGTAGCCATCGAAGCCGCCCTGGAGCTGGTGGCTGTTGCTGATGAGCGCCTCGACCGCGTCCTCGGGGCTGAAGCCCAGCGCCTCGGGGTTGAGCTGCTGCGGGTAGCCGGTCATCCAGTAGTAGTCTTCCAGGTGCGCCTTCTGCTCGCTGCCCGAGCCCGGGCTGGGCGCCGAGAAGCTGGGGGAAGGGGGCACCGAGCTGCACGGCGTGCTCATGGGGGTGGAGGACAGCGAGCCCCCGGCGATGAGACGGCCGCACTGGCTGATGATGCGGTCGGTCTCCACCGGTTCCTTTTTCACTTCAAACTTCATCAGATCGAAGTCATTAACATATTCCATGGCCAAGGGACTGGTGGGCAGGTCGGAGTTGCTCATTGCCAGTTCTGATGCCATTCTCCTGCCGCCGCCGCCGCCGCCGCTCCGCCAGATGGGCTGCAGGAGAGGGGCCAGCGGGCTGTGCTGGGTGGCCAGCGGGTGAGCCAGCTTGCCGGGCTGGGGCGCTTCTAGCTCGCGCGGCGGTGGCTGGCCCGAAACCTCGGAGCGCGCTCACAACCCCCCGCCCTGCCCGCGCCCCCCGCGCCCGCCCTCCCTCCCCCTGCTCACGCCAATGTGCTCGCTCGCTCGCCCCGGCCCCTCCTTGCTCGCTCGCTCGCTCGCCTCCGTGCGCGCCGAGCCGGCGACTTCAGGCTCGGGAAGGTCCTCCGCGGGCGGCGGCGGCGGCGGCGGCGGCGGCGGCGGCAGCAGCGGCGAAGCTGGAGGAGCCCGGCCCGGTGCGCGGCGTCCCCCGCTCGCCGCTCCGCTGCGCGCTTTGCATAAGGAAGGGCTCGCCTCGCCGGCCCGGGCTGCAGGCGGGGCGCGCGCGGCGGCCGCTCGGGGCTGGAGGCGCGGCAGGCGGCAGTCCGGGCGGCGCGGGCCTTGGCACGGGGGAGTTAACACTTCATGCTTCTCGCCTCCTCTTCTGCGTGGCTCTCTTTTATTATTTTTTTTCTTTCCTCTCTCTCCCTCTCGCGCGCGCTCTCTCCCTCCGTGCAAAGTGCAAGGCAGAGGTGCAGCCCGGCTGGAGGAGAGGGAGGGGGGAGTTGAGTTCTTTCTTGCCCTTTTTTTTTTTTTTTTAAAGAAAAAAGCAAAATAGCGAAGTCCTGGGGAAAGACGAGGCAGAGAGCAAAGGAGGGAGGGGGAGGCCAAGCCGACGAGCTGCCCGAGCTACAGCTCGAAGATGAAAAAAGATTTTAAAGCCTCTGATCCAGCAAGAAGAGTTTAAAGCAATTGCGGAGTTTTATAGCACTCGTGACGTCAGGTCCAAATGAGAAATTGACTGGCACTCCGGACCAATGGGAGGCGGCGAGAGCGACTGCGATTAGCATAATAGTATAGAAACAAGGAAACTTTTCGGAGCTGTCAATCAGGGCCCAATCAGCTGACTGTCAGCTGGGACAGGCTGGCTTAACCCCTTCTGCGCCGCTGCCTCCCCGGGAGGGAAGGAGCCCCGGCGCAAAGTTTGGTGTAAGAGGGGAAGGAGTTTTTCCAGAGGGGCTTCGGGAATCCGAGCGGACCTGGGAGGAACGGTTTTTTTTGTTTGTTTGTTTGTTTTTTTTGGTGGAGCGCCAGGCAGGCCTGACATCCGGAGCCCCAGCTCGCCAGGCGCTCACTCTGCTGCTATTGGCCTGACTCCCCTCCCCTGCCTGCCCACCACTCCCAGGATTGTGAATTCGCCTTTCTACTTCTCCTCGCTCCACCTCTGGCACCCAGGTGTCTGCCGGGGGAACCTTCCTTCTCTGAGCCTGGCCCTGCCGGGCGCTCAAACTTGGTACCAACTCTTTGTCCCGGTCTCGAGCGCCGGGGCGGGGAAGGGAGGGATGCGCCGGGGTGCCAGGGTCCGGACTTGGCGCGCGACGCCGCCGGGTCGTGCGCCTGCCCGGAAGGCTGGGAGTCCTTGGAGAGAGAAAGCCCATGTTATCACTGTCTTTAAAAGGAGGTAAAGTAAGTTGTTGAGGGGCCATTCTTCAAGGGGACTGGCTGCTCGCAGGCGTCCCTTGCCCTTGGTCGGAGCGAGCGCCTCTGCGCGAGAACTCCAGGGAAGCTCCAAGTCAGGTCAGCGGGACTCAGCCCTCCGGCTCTTAACTGGCCGGAGTTTGGCCTTTGAGACTCCTATGCGCGCTCGCTCTCGCTTTCTTTCACACACACACACGCTCACCCATCCCCTTACGAAATTTGACCTCTGTTTATCAGGGTCAGGCGCGCCCTTTGCACTTTTACGTTTCCTTTAATTATTTCGGACTTGATCGTGGCGGGGAGCAAGGCGGAAAAACAATACCCCAGCCCTCACCAGCTCCCCTCGAAGGGTTAAATTTTAAACCGCGGTTTCTCGAACTAGCCCGGAAACCCAGAGTGGGGGTGGGGTGGGGGAGGCTGCTCCCCCCAATCCCCAGTTGCAAATGCTAATAACCAGTTTAGTTTTCCAGATCGATTCTGTTAAAGTTTATGCAAAAAAATAAATAAGAAGAAGGAAAAAAGAAAAGAGAAAAAAGGAAACCAATAACTCTGTTTCTAAGATTTTAAAGCGATAGGCAAGTCGAAGAAGCAGAGATTTATTTGGAGAGAAAGCTCCTGAAACCGACTCAGCCTTTTGGAAGATCAGCCCGCCCACTTGGAATTTGGGACTGTTGATTCCTTCAATTAATGAAATGCATTTGGTGTTGTTAATCGTATTTATTTTACTTTATGAGAGGGGGGAGACGCTAGGGAGGGTGCCTTAAAAAAAATTCTGAAAAGCCTGCAAAAGGATCGAAGAGTGGAAACTATTGTTGGAGCGAGTTGGTTTTTACCTCAACAGCGCCACCTTTCGACAAAGGTCAGTTGAAATTGATCCGTGTCCAGTTTTGTCGATGAAGTGAAAAGCAGCTGGTTACCCAACGTGGGAGGAGGAAAGCAGCACAGAAAGTTAGTTTGACTGAAGTGGGAGAACCCGACCCGGTAGGAAAGGGGCCGAAGAAAGTGCTGGCAGATACAGGGACCATTTTTTCCCCCTCCTCTTCTCCTTGATTGTTGACCAAGAGGTCCGGGACACAGACGCCCTCAGGGTGTAATTTCTGCCTGAGACCTTTGCAAGCAGATCCCAAATAAGAGGGCCCCAAACCCTTTAAAAGTGTCAGGATGGATTTTCAACGGGCTTTATGGCAATATCAATAGAATTAAAGTTACTTGTAATTCAGTGATAAATGAGATGTCTCTAGTAAGTAAGATTAAGTGCTGTGCTATAAAGTTGTTTATCTGAAAAGTAATTCTCAGAAAACCTGACTTCTGACACTTAGTCATATATTAAGCCAGCGTCTTGAACATTGCACTTCAGAATGGTCTTCCCCACCCCGCAGCATACTTTGCTATTTATAACGAGAACCTCAGGTGTCTGACACTTGCTCCTTGCACCAGATTAGACCTGTGTTAATTTCTCTGATCATAGTAGCCTTCAGTTTCAGCAAACCCAGGAGACTCCCCAAAAGATATGTAGGCACATTCTAATCTGAAAAGGGCAGCGCTGTTGGTATTTTTCAGACAAGTAGTTTTTCTTTTCATCGTGACTGCAGAGAAGTTGTTTATAAGGGTAGTTTTGGTTTTATAGGAGCACTTTGTTGGGTGGAATAAACTATGTCTATTACCAGTCTGGGGAAGAAAGAGTGAAGATTGTGTCAATATTTATGCAACCTAGCAGAATTCCCTTGCTTTCCTTCTCTTTAACAATATTTTACCTAGTAATGAAGTTAAGGGATTACGTTTATGTATTTAGAGGAAAATCCACAGTTTAAATTACGTAAGTATTGTGTCATTTAACATTGTCCGTAACTATAGTTTTCTAGGTCTTTTTAAAAGTCAGTAGTCACAAATGTCTGAAGTTTATATTTTTCATGTAAAATATGAATGTATGTATACTTAGAAAGAATTCATTTTTTGTTTAGGATATTTTTTTAATCCTTTTGCATCATGTTTGTGTTAAAGGCTGTAAGTTATGATCATTGCTTCTGAAAACAGTATTATAATAAATAATAAATATTTTATAAACAAAGTTTGCTAATGATGAAGACTATGCCACATAGATTGATGGCTGAGTGTATAATTATTGCATTGTTATATATCATTTCTAGAAATTAAATGCCCATGTTTGGGCAGCTAAATATATTATCTGAACATTTTTATGGTTTATTTATGTACACTGCTGTCAAGCCATGGTATTTTTATTTCTCTTATTGCAAGGTCTTTTATAGTCTCCCATTTTCTCTTGGAAAAAAAAAAAAGAGGATCAGAATTATTTTTTTTTTTTAGATGTGTAGCAGTAGTGCTCTCAGCCTTACAACTTAATTCTCATTTTTATCCTTTTTACATTATTATTTAGTGATTCGCAGGGGTGTCTAAACATTTACAGTTCTCTCTTAGCAGCGTTTCTTTTATAACAATTGAGCTCTCTCATTTTAATTAGTACTATTCAGGTTTTTGATGCTGTACAATTACAGTGGGCCACGTTTCTTTAGACTTCTTTGCTAACATTGTGTCACTTCTATCCAAGCCAATCTAATCCAAATACAATGTGAACTATGTTTTCTTACTGCTTAACATCTCCTTGCTATATATACTCTAGTAATCTCTGTAGAACAATATACAGTAATTTAGAAACCATGCATTTGTCATTATTGACCAATTTGGACCAGTAGTGTTAAAGTTTCTGAAAGCAATGCATATTTATAGAGCATTTTTTGATGGGGAGGAGGGCATGGGTCGCAGCACATAGAATATTGTGACACAGTAACATCAGAAACACAATTGTAGCCTCATATCAGTACCTGCATAACAACTTCATGCAAAAATGAAAAAACCCCTGTTCATGTCCAAATTACAAAGATTAAAAGCTTAAAGAAATATATTTTTCCTGATTGTGAGTGATAGCAACTCAAAGATATCATGCAGGAATCAGACATACATAATCTGAATACAAGGGGCTGCATCAGGTACAATATCTGAACTCTTTGTTTAGGAGCTGATTTTATGGGGCAGAACTAACCAGTGTCCACTAAATTTCACTCTGAAACCAACTAAATTGATTTGAGAAAGAGTTCTTCAGAGTAACTGGATGATAAGGCGTACCCGGTTCTAGGTTTAGTGTTAGATAAATCCTTTTAACAGTCTTCCGTTAGCAGGGTAAGTAAATCACAAATCACTGTTAGCAGATTCATGGAAGAAAATTAATAGAATCAGAGGAGATAATCTGATAAGAGCAGAATTGCTGAGGAAATAGTCTTGCCTCATATTGGAGGATGTGAAACAAGTCTGATTACTAGAAGTCATTGTAAATAGGTGAATTACGTGCTAAATAATCATCAGAGTAATTCAGCATTTATTAATTCTTTTCTCTTTAAGCAATTCACAGTTGTAAGTTAAAGCCGCTCTCTCTTTCAAGACACATCTTTTATAATTTTTATTAGAGGTAATTTATTATTTGCATTACCTGTATTTACTTCATAATTGAACATTTTGCATTCAAATTTATGTAATGCATTATGCTTGAGAATATATTTCTGCCTGATTAGCATAAATAGTCACTTACCTCATGAATTACTAACAAAGTTTATCTTAAAATCTAGGTTTTTTTATTAAGTGGAACACAAACATATGTACAATAAATTCTGATTTTCCAGTGCAGTTACAGATCAACTCACATTTGGTTACAGGGAGGCGAGGGAGGAAGCCAAATACAGGCAAATGAGATGTGTGGGTTTCTTTCCAAGGGTGTCATTTAGATGGGGGCGTATGTGTACGGCGGGGTAGGGGGCAACGTAAAGGAGAAGGCCTTAGGCTTTTTATATACTGTTTGGATTGGGTGATCTTGACATGAAATGTGAATTCTGGAAAAATCTGTAATTAGTGATCTCTGCCTTTGCAGAGAACCATGATAACAAGTAAATTAGCACTGGAAGAATTTGGGGGTCGTCTTTATCGTGTGGTTGTTTCATTTATTTGCTTATTTGTTTTTGTCTCTACAGGGTTCTTCCTTGGAAAACAATACACATCACTTAATGAAATCCTTGTTTGTTTTGCACAAGAGATGTAAAAAATCAGATGTTTTCTTCAATGAGAATTCTGGGAAGGTGTACCAGCCTTCTTTCTTCACCCGACAAAGACACACAACACAGCCTCGCAGAGCGGAGGTGTTTAATACATCGTTTTATGCACACACGAACGTGGGAGTGAAAGGGCTTCTTTGGGTTTTAGACAATAGACAGAGCTATAAAATCATCATGGGGCCTATTTTCCCCAATCTTGTCATTTTAAATCAATAGATTTCCCGGGCTTCTTCCCCCCTCCCCGCCTCCGGCTTTCCTTCTCCAGGACACAGGTATCTCCTTCGATTTTTCTTTTCCTTCCGTGAGGGTCTCCTTTGTGAATCCTTCTTCCACAGCCATCCTTTTTGATCCTATTCACAGCCCACACTGGTGAGGGAATTTGTCTCAAAAGCATTCAGCCCTTCAAAGATTTTTATTGTGGTGAACTCAGAATTGATTAACAGAAAAACAGAAATAGAAAAAGGGACCTGATGTGGGGACGATCTTTCTGCGGGTTGCGTCTTTTATGCATGATAACTCAGAGGACAGGCTCCTCGTCGGTTGTGTGGTAAGGCTAGCTCTGACCCTCCTTCCTAGCCCTGGGGGTGGGGTGATTCATCGCTCCTGTTCCAAAGGCATGTAGCAGCCATTTGACCTGGGAAAGAAATGGAGTTTTAGAAAATCCAGACCAAACAGAGAGACTCCTGTGATTACCAGGATGAGTACAGCAATGCAGGTGGCTTCTGAATTTCTGTTTCTGAATTTGTTTGGCTGAGGGCCCTGAGCAAAGGCATCCCTTATGGCCCCGTTTTATACCTTAGTTCTTGGTGGCATCATGGGTATTGCTGATCTCTCTGATGTGTTTTTCTGTGCCTTGAAAGCACCAGACGTGCCATGTGACACCCTAGCAGCATCCCCCTCCATGATGGAGTGTCCCTAGTCTGACAAAGAATAGAAAACTGGGCTAACCTCCCTATCCACCCAAAATAAAATTAGAGTAAAATGTATAAACCTGCTAATATTTTTTTATTTGATAACTTTATAAAACAGTGATACGTTCTCCTTGTTAAATATAAACATTTGAACAGGACAACAACAGGAGGACATCCAGTAAAAGAACTGCTATCCCTCATCTCTACTCCGGTCCCTTAACCCTGGTCTCAGGGTTTATCATCTGTAATAGTTGGGGTATACAGGTACAGTTTTTACAGAATGGCACCAAACACGTACCTAGTTCTTTACTTTGTGCTCCCTTTAAAACACATTCACTTTAACAATCTCAGAAAGAGATTTTGGGCACTTCTCTCTTCTTTGGCAGAATTCACCTCATGGCACCTCAGACTGGGGAAGTTTGGAGATCTGAGATTAATGTCGTCCTTCTCACCAGTGTGGGAGCTTGAATCTGCTTTAGTGAGCTGGCAGCGTTCAGGGACAGCTTCTCCACAAGGCCCAACAGACACATTTCTTGGGGCCCACAAAACTGTTTAGGGTCCTTCAAAACATTAAAAATTTTTAAAAATAGAAGTGAAAGGGGAATGGAGTACAGCATGGATTATGTCTGTTATACCAACACAGTCGTAAAAAATAATTAAAAATAGTTTTCAATGGAACAAAAGGTCCACAGAAGTGAAGTGCCCAGAGCCCACAAAACTCCACACGTGACTCCAACTGTATGTACTTATCACACCCAATGATGGGATGATCTCAATTTTACCTCCCATTATGTCCATCTATATTCCCAGAGTTCTTGAGGTTGTCAGGAAGGCTTGTTTAACATGAAGTCGTAAGTCATACTCCCTTCTAGAACTTAGCCTTGATTTTTTTTTTTTTTTTTTGAGATGGAGTTTCGCTCTTTTATCCTAGGCTAGAGTGCAATGGCACCATCTTGACTCACCACAACCTCCGCCTCCTGGGTTCAAGTGGTTCTTCTGCCTCAGCCTCCCAAGTAGCTGGGATTACAGGCATGCGCCACCACGCCTGGCTAATTTTGTATTTTTAGTAGATACGCGGCTTCTCCATGTTGGTCAGGCTGGTCTCAAACTCCCAACCTCAGGTGATCCGCCTGCCTTGGCCTCCCAAAATGCAGGGATGACAGGCAAAAGCCACCATGCCCCGCCCTTTAGCCCTGATTTTATACACTTATGAGGCCATGTATCATAAGTGCTTCCATGCCACAGAGTCTTTAGGAAGTTGGAGAGAGCCAATATGACACCCCTTCCCTGCTTTTTGTTTTTCATTCAAAATATAGCCAGTGTCTTCAACTTTTCCATACAAGTTTCGGTTTCAAGTGCCCACTCCTTCTGGTTACTAACTCCCAGGTGGGTGCATCTGGTTCCTTCTGCGCTCTGAGGGTTCAAGTTTCAGAACAGAACCCAGATACACAGGTGGGAGCTTTTGATCCCAGGGTGAGCACCTATGCTCCGCCTCCTTAAGCTGCAGTCTGTCTGCTCCTAATACAACCCATAATTTCACCAGCCTCTCTGGCAGACACCTAACACTGGTGACTCATCATGCGTGAACAATGGACACAAGCCCAGGCTTTTTTTTTTCTCTCACGTTCCCCCTATCCTAGATTTGTGTGCTTGTTTTTGAACCCAAGCACAGAAATTCATAGCAATCCTCCATGAGTTTCACGTCTTTAGATTGAGTCCGTTCTGGGCTTGTCTAAATCGCTTTGGATCTAGAATGTGCCATCAACTAGTTTTAATTTGTTTTTCAGCTCAGTGCCAGTGGCACATGAAATTGATGTGCTTTTTATGACTTAACCTCACGGAGCCAGGTCTGTCATCAGCAAGTTGGGTACTGTCAGGATTAGAGATTGTGCCTCTGGAATGTCTCCTGTGGTGTGGGCCACAGAGAAGCTCATAAATGGTTGGAGCTTTTCTGAATTTCCTGCTCTTCCAGAGTTGCTGATAACGACATTGGAAGGGACAGAGCCCTGTAGCATCTCAATGGAGACTGCCTGCAAACTCCCAGTGATGACACAAAGTGACCCACCTGATCATTCAAGTCCCCTAATGGACATTTAAATGGACTCTGCCTAATTGGTAATTGGAGTTATTTTAAACTAAAGGACCCTATCTGGAAGTATACATATACCTTTCTAATCCATTTTAAAATAACTTCACTTTTGTATGGTGTAGGCAAAGCTCTCTGTTGAAGAAGACAGATTGCTCGATAATTGTGTCACATTTCACACCTGCCTGTGTCCTTGTCAACCTTTGCCCTGTCAAAATACATAGTAGTTGTCCAAAGTTGGGATCTCAGAGACTAATAAAAAATAGATGTAACCTAGAAAAGCTAAGCAGAAGCGCTGTGTGCATGTATGCATAACAACATATTCGAGATCAGTTCTTTCCTCCCTGTTTTATCTCTGGTTTAGATCACCAACTTCCCTGCCATTTCCTGACACCAATTTTGAAGTCAGGGGGCTCAGAGGCATTTTCTTAAAGAGAAGAGTTCACAGTTTCAGTGTCCACCTTTGAGCTGCAGCTAGTCAGCTCCGTGATGTAAATATATAGGCTTTTGCAGTCTCCTGTGCCAGAATCCCCCCTCACCCCCTTTCAGAGAAATCTGGCAATGTGAGAAGGAACTGGCCCATGAGTGCTTCATGACCTGCTGTCTGTGTCCTGCCTGAGAACGCATGGCTCTGGCTATTTCAGCAGGCCCAGCCTGGGATCCTGAGGGGTTGGAAGGAGTGATGGGGACCCTTCAGGGAAGCGTCACTGACTGTTGACTCTCTAAAGCTGCTGATTAGGGACTAGGCTTGGTGGCTGTCACAGTGATGTGAGCACAGGCAGTTGGGGCGGGAGAAGAGACCGGACCGGACACACAGCATCTGAGGTCAGCACTCAGGTCTCCCTCTGATTCACCCTCTGACCTCGGCAAAGCCCTTCACTCTCTTCCTTCAATTCATTTTTCAGGCTGCAAATGGACTGACCTGTGTGAAGAAGTTAAACCTGCTTGCCTGGAAGGAATGTTCCTAGCCATTTGAGGCTGAATACAGGGTAGGCATAAATAGCAACCAGACTCCCACAGACAGATGGAAGCTGGCATGCTGGGCTGCCATGGAGCATTGATGGGTCATGGTAGCAACGTTGGAATATCTTCAAGGTGAAAACAACAGATACAGCAAGGCAGGGTCAGAATGGCACAGCCAGCCCTCCTGCAACTCCAGGCCAGAGGATGCTATTGTTTTAGGGATGTTGCTTAGAGCCTTTGGTGAGCAGCCTGTTGTTTAGAGCAGCACAGTGAGGAGGACCACTGGGAGGGAGACATACCCTGGAGGTGCCTGTTGCCAAAATGAGGATGTGAATCCTGCTCTGCCCCAAAGTGTAAGACCTTGGGCAAGTTAGCTGACCTCTCTGAACCCGTCTTTTTCTGGGTATGAGGTAGACAGGGATTTTGTGATCATGATGAGCATGTAAACCGAGTGTTTGGCATGGTGCCTGCCCCGAGCGAACACTCAAAAGAGCAGGCTCTGTTAACATGTGCCAGCGACTCTGCCCACACTCCATACACGTCATTTCACGGTATGGGGCCCAGGGCATACTAGGAACTCGAGAAATACAATAGTTTCCCCTCTTCTGTCTGTTCTGTTCCTGCCTTAAAGTTGTAGTTACATCTTAACCTGGCCTCTTTCTCTCTGTCTCTCCTAAGTCTTTGGATGATTTTGCTCCCATTGAAAGGAGGGATTTTGCTTCCTCTTGCCACGTTCCTTGCCCTCTGTTTTATTTCCTGGCTCTTCTTTAGGTCTTAGTTTTCCTCTTAAAAGCCTTACTTGTGTTCTCTTTGCCCACCAGCCCCAGGTGCCCACTATCTCTGCTAGATGTGTTTGAGTCCTCAGCATGCCCCACGAGTTCCCTACCCACATGTGAACTTCTTAAAGCCAGGGAATGCCACCTCTCATCTCTCCATCTCCTGTGCCTCCTACAGAGCTCAGCATACAGTAAGTGCTCAATAAAAATGTATTCAGTGAAAACCACACTGTCTGATTCCTTGCTTCTTTTTATTTTGAAGCTCGAACCTACACAGAATGTCCTGCCAAATGTCCCAGAAAACATGACTTTCAAAGGCACAGCGTGGCTGGCAGCCGTGTTACAACACAGCACTTCTTACCTTCGCCTCTCACTAGTCCGATTGGTGCATCCTTCAATTACCAGGACGCTTATCTTGCTCACTCATTAGCATATATTCCTTAGATGGAATTAAATGGAAAACATAGTTGAGATATGTGAGCACTGGAACTGATGTGGGCTGGAGTAGAATCTTGCTGGGATGGGTTTTGGCTGAAGGAAGTCTTCGGAGTAAGTGCCTGAGTGTAAGTGGGGCATCCTATTCCAGCACCGTCGGCTGCTGCTAGAGAGAGCCCTCGTGCAGCTTTGAGTCACACCTGCTTTCCCAGGGCTTCATGGCACACAGACACTGTTTTGTAAGCTTCAGATAAGAATGCAAGGCCCGCCCTCATTTCCACATGCCCAAGTCCTGCCCATTCTTCAAGCACAGCTTATACGTGACATGGCGTTGCACCCGAAGCTCTGAGCAGAGTGGCTGGCATCTATTAGTAAAAGGTTGATGTTAACACTAAGCCCCCAAGCTCCAGAAGCCCCCTTTGGCTCCTACCTTGCATTCCTGGATCCCGACGGTTGTTCCTAG